TCTATATAATCTATATCTATATCTATATCTATATCTATATCTATATCTATATATATGTCACTATGAGTCCAAACTATATAGTTTGGACTCATAGTGATCCTCCTGTTTTCAGCCTCCTCAGATCTGGGATTTCAGGTGTTTCATCCTCCTGTTTTCATCCTTGACCAATCTTATTGGCCGACTCAGCATTCCTGGGGGCAGGGTTGGTAAGGCATGTGGTGCTGGGGATTGAACACTGCTCCCTGTGCTTACCTAAGCATACTCATGAATGAACAAGCTACTTGAGCTATACATGTCTTTAAAATTTGTGAGTGCAATACATAATTATCAGGGTTTTTTTTTTGGTTGGTGAGGTTGCTGTTTTCATATATTCAAATAATCATTAAACTTTGCTCTTTCTTTTCCTGAGAATAGTAAATTTCATAAATGCTGTACACTCATGATCAACTATTTAATGATTATGACTGTTTTCACGTTAGGTGCCAGATATTTATCTATTATTCTTATTTTTCCAGCTCTGATTTTGTGAAATGGTGTAGGTTTTCACCAATAGAGCTACAGATCTATGAAACTCCCTTTTGTTATTTATTTTTTTGTGTGTGAATCTCACTTCCATAATCTTTTCTTTTCCTTTCTTCTTCTCCTTTCCTTTCCTCTCCTTTCCTTTCTTTTCATTTCATTTTCCTTCTTCCTTCCCTCTTCATAGTTAAACATAATGTTAAAGATAGTGATGTGGAGTTGAACTACAGTGGAGAGAATAGAAAACCTAGGTTTTCCCTTCTTATATGAACAGTATGGCCAAACAACATTTCAATCATGAGGAACATGCAGATTTTTCTCAGATATCAGGTGAGAAACACATGTGTCCTCCTCTTTTTCCATTTGTACCCTGAAATTAGTCCTCCCATAAGGCCAGTGGTACCATTTGTGCAGTGTTCTATAGATGTCTGTCCTCTTCATATGGATGCCAGATCATTCTTTCCACTGGCTGTGGTATGTGACCTGAGCATTTTCCCATAGTTGTAGTCCTTTAATTATAAAATCTACCACAGGATTGTCCATTGACTTGGAAGCTGCAGAAAAAACACAATGTTACAAGTAAATCATTCCTTGATCATGATATATATGGTAATAGTGACAGTATTAAATTTTTCTTGGAAGGAGACATGCTTCACTATGAGTTGTGATAGTTCCCAAATTCTTACAGCATATACCATAAAATTGCTATTATATTGTTAAGTAAAGTTCTGCAACACGTAATTTTTCTGTTTTCGTATTATTTTGTACACTCTTTAAAAATTAAAATTTTAAAAAATATTTTAAAAGAATGTTAAAGTTTCCCTTTGGTGTTACTTTCTCAATTAATGTTTAAGTTTTAACTATCTGCAGTACTAGGTCTCTCCAATCTCCTTCCCAGTGTCTCCTTGTGAATGAGAGTTACCAATGGCTTTTTATCTGTACTACTTTTCTTTGATTTAGTCATTTAGTAATTAATCTGAAATCTCTTCAACAATGGCTTCTTTTTTGCCAGTGTGTTAAAAGAACCTGTTATGCTTGTTCTTTAGGTCAGCCAAGAGAGTTCTCAGCATGATCAAGCCCAAGTGCTACAGGGGTGTCTAGTAGGTCATCCTTCTGATGAAGAGTGCTCCAGTCTTGTCCGCTAATCATCTAAACTGTGCTGTGCTAGGAAGGTAAGAGATGGATGAGGCAGATTTGGGAGGTGACATGCTATAGGATTACTTCTGCCTTGTTTTCATGAACTTTTTATACTCTTAAGATACATTTTTTTAGGAAATTATTTTGTTATTTTGGACTTCCCATTTTCCTTTTTTATAGTAGTAAAAAATAACACAAGTTTGTGTTTTCCTAGTGCAGAGTGTACGATCCATTAAATTAAAGTCATTTGAATGATTGGTCATATTATCTGTCCTTATTCTTAATGTTGCACGTGAGCTAATATGGATAGGAGATCATGACTGTTTGAAATTGTACCACTGGTCTCTATCAGTGCTATGAAGAAAGCAGATGTGTTATTTTTATTTTTTCCCCTGTATTTTAGGGAAGGACCTATAGGGTGTTCAGGGTCTCACTACTAGATCAGACTCATAGTGATTCTCCTGTTTTACAGCCTCCCAAGTGCTGGGATTGCAGGCACGCACCACCAAGCC